TATTTAACACCATCAATTTATAATTACGAAAGATAAATCATATGATCATGACGCTAACATAGCTTTTTATATGAAATTCAAATATTATGTTACATATGCAAGGTTAAGGTGTTTGTCTTAGCTCACAACTCTTTAAAATTTGGGATATTTGAATTATTTTTCCCTTTCTGATTTTACATTCCCTATTTCCCTCCTTTTAGGGCAATGAAGATGCTATTGTAGTATGAAGAGAATATGTGAACTAATGAAGAAAACTAAATATGTGAACAAAGTATTTTTGTTTCATTTATGGCCCAAATTGTTTTCTTTTCACTTTTAAACTTTGTGGTTTCACTTACATTTTTAACTTTTTTTATATGTGAACATCCGATTTGTTTAAACTATTGTAAATGTAGGTTTCGCCGTTAAGGATGTTTTTAGTTGGACTCATTTTAGTGTCAGACCAAGACGGACTAAACTTGACTTAAAGAAATCGGACTAGATCAGACTTCGACAGTTATAAAATACACATAAATCAGACATCTACCAGATCAGTTCATACCATACCTGAACAAACTGTTAACTTGTATATATAACTTTTGACATCGTTAGGGTTATAACTTCAAACACGATAAAAATTTGTAAATGTGGGTGCCGCATCGAACATAAAATTTGTAAATGTGGGCGCCACATCGTTAGGGTTATAACTTTTGTCACTAAAGTTACACTACAGTAAAAAAATGTTGCACAAACATAAAAGTTTTTCATGTAGCCAAAAAATAAATTATACTCCGTAGCATTTCTGTAAACATTGTTAAAAAATCCACAACCAATATTTTCGGTAAAAGTATGCCACAGACAAAACATGTCAGAGAGTAATATCCATATTATAGTAACTAAAATAGCATGACACTTTAAATTTAATTACAAATGAGTTGAAAATAGTATACTTTTTATACACATTTTCAAAATTCTTCGCGTTAACACTTTTTCTCATGGTGTTACATTGTTGACAAAATATTGTTAGTCCAAAAAAATAAACTCCACACACAATAAATGTTTGCACACTAAAACATTTTGACAGTATAAAAAAGGTACTAGTATAGTTTTTGTACGCAATATCAGACCACGATGTCTCGCACTGATAGAACCAATAAGTAACTAGCATTGATAGTGCCAATAAATATTTGGTGCTGCCGAAAAAGGTTGAAACAATGTTATTCTATGTTGCCTAATTTCATAGAAAAGTCGTCTTTGTAAATGATTTTGAAAATGTCTACAAAAATATATACTTTTAATTTGTAGGCAAAATTGAAAACAATAATCCCAACTATTGTCGGTCCGCTAACAATAATCCCAACTATTGATTATTTTTGTATAATCCCAACTATATGGACCGTCCACCAATAATGGTCCATGATTGCATATTACATGCTCTAACAAGTGAATTTTTAATAGACATTAAGCGTAAAAATTAAAATTTGGGGTTATTTATATGGATTACTTGATATACCTCTTTAGAAACTATAGGAATTTATTTATAGTCGGTCATGTCGGACCATTATTGGCGGAAGGTCCCTAAAGTTGGGATTATTTTGAAATAATCGATAGTTGAGATTATTATGAGCGGACCGTCAATAGTTGGGATTATTACAATCATTTTTTCCTAATTTATATTGGTGAAAAAAATTGTAAATGTCTATTGCACATTTTCAAATGTGCCAAAATGTATAATTTGTGTACAAATTTTCAAAATTATTTACACGAACGTTATTCTGTAAAAGTAGGTTAAAGATCTGGAACAAAATGTCAATCTAAAAATCATGTTTGTAAACAATAAATGTTTGGTACCCTCTCAGCCTTTTTTATCAATGCCACGCATCCATTGATGGCGAAAGAAGAAACCCTACGTAGAGGGAACACGACCGCCTTTTAGAGCTTAGCGTAGTAATTGTTTGACCGAGTTTATTAAATGAGTCATTGATATTTTAATATAAAAATAATATTTTAAAAGGCGAAAAATTGCATTGCCTAGACGACTAGCTCTATACTCGAACACCACTTTAAAGTTTCGTATTCTACAAGACAAAAAGGAAGACAACCTAAATTAATTTGAACCTAAAAATACTTTTTCTGAAAAATAATTAATCGCGATTTTTTTTTGATAATTATCAAACAAGACTATTAAAATCTATTATAAACTTTCATTCATACACTATAGTTAGTACATCTATTATCCATGTATACACAATCAAAAGAGAAAAATCTTAGTTTTAGTAGTTGTGGGACAAACAATAGATAAAAATGTAATCAAAATATAAATAAAATAAACAGGGCGAATGCGGGGGCGGGCATATATAAAACCGTAACCGCGTCGTTACCCGTAAAAACAAAATGGGTATTTCCCGCCCGATACCTATTATCCGGTCTAGTTTTCCCAATTTGACAGGGCAATTCGGTGCGGGTATCGATATGAGTTGCCATCCCTACCTAAATTTTGGTATATCAAAATTGTGTATACATTGTTGGTAAAATGTGAGTGTGGTATGCGGTACCTAACTGTTAGACCCCTTTTTGGCAGGTCTATATCGAGTCATCGCATTGGCTTGATAGGGTGGCTTTCGGGGCATGTGGTGCAGCCAAAGTCATCATGGCGATGCTTCGCCAAGGCAAAGGCATGCTGCGGCATTGCTCTGCGAGGAACGGGCAAGGTGGAAGTTTGGCTAAGGAATCAAGACTTGGTCAAGACAAGGCAAGCTAAACCAAGTATGTGGGCAGAACGGTTAGAGTTGCGAGAAACCATGTTCGGTTCATGGACAACATGACACGGTCAAGGTAGGCTATGGGTTTGTTGGTCCGACATGTGGTCCAAGTGTTGGTGAAGGTCAGTGGCATGCGTGGCATGGCTTACAGGATGCGGCACAACAGGTTGGATGCACGACAAAGGCAAGTGGCTCAAGGTGGCACGTGGGCGACTCATGGGCAGTGCGTGGCCAGGCTTGAGCCCGAGACGTGGCTGTCCTTGGACAGTCACGACTATTGGGAGTTCGGTGGCTACGAGGGTTGGCTGGCCGGTTGACAAGTGGGACTTGGGCAAGTTGGGCGCAAGGCAACGAGGGTTGATCTCGAGCTCAAGGGAAAGAGTTGGCTCGCGGGTGGTCTGGGTTAGGCCGCGGCGTGAGTGCAAGCTCGAAGGGTTGTGTCGGTTCAGTGCTGGCATGGCCCGAGTCTACGAGGGAGCATGACATTGGTGAACTGGGTGCTTTGGGGCGAATCGATGGCAAGGCAGTTGAAGGCTTCTGTCGAACAAGTGCTTTGCGCGAACCGGAATGTCGCGGCATTGGCGGTTACCAACTGCCACTCGCGAAGAGACGCGTCCCTTCAAACTGGGCAGTTGGTTTGTAAGTGCCATACTCAGTCCAGTCTATAAATAGGCCGCGACATACTGCTAGTTTTGGTAGCCAAATGTGTGAGAGTAGTGTATACTAAGTGTTTGCAAGTGTTTAGACATTGTGAACGTGTTGTATTAGTCCTAGTGCATTAATTGTGAATTAATACAAGGTTGGTCGTTGACCGTAAAGTCGTGTGCCTATATTCTATGTGTGTGTTAAAGTGTTGTGTTCCTATCCTCAATTAAGAGCCCACTTGGTAACACTAAAATTGACTGAATTGGCTGATTATGCTGAAATTTATGAAGTTATGGCTGAAGTTGCTGTATTGGCTGATTCTGTTGATTCATAAAAAAATTATATTTAAAATATTTGTTATTAATAAATAAAATAAAAAGTTATATGAAAAATAGCTAAAATGATCCTCTATAGTAACTTCAGCCAATACAGCCAGAAAAGTAACTACAACCTTACTTTTGTGCTTATTACATAATTCAGCGTGCAAAACCAAAAATTACGTGTTTGGTGAAAAAGCTAGTTGATAAGCGTGATAAGCCAAAAAAGGGTCACCAAACCGGCTTTAAGTGTGACTGCAACATTAGGGGTAAGGTTGAGTGAGTCTAGGGGTGGACAAAAGACCCGGTCCCGTTGGTCCGTTCCGGAATGTTCCGGTTCCGTTCCGAAATTGTCATGTTATATTTGAGGCACATTGTTTTTGTCTCGTACCGGTCCCGAACCGTTTCAAAACAAAACGGGACTGGGACAAGTAAAATATATTTCGTTCCGTCCCGTTGTTCGAAATCCAAAATTGTAATTTGTAGATTAGTGAGTCTATCAACAACTCATTATGTAATCCAAATTATAATAGTTATCCTTTTTTTAATAATAATAAGACATACTAATGATTATCCTTTTACATTTACAACAAATGATAATAATGATCCTTTTTAATACTAATTATCTTTTTTCCACAACCCAAATAACAATGATTACATATAACATCTAGAAAACTATAAACTACCTACTATGAACTATGAACTATCATTCCTCTATAAAAAAGAAAATGACTTTTACTCCTAAGGGATTCACTCCTATTGTATTCTTTTATCATTTTTTAACGGATTTGTTTTTGTCTTAGGTTTCTTTTTGCCGCAACTTTAGTTTCTTGAAACTAATCTGGTTAGTTACATATTTCTCTCACACTTTTCTATATTAGGTGCATTTTTTTGTCATAAAGTTTTTTGCGCTAGTTTTTCCCCTCAAATAGATTTGCTTTATTTGTGGGATTGCAATTTTTTTACTACAGTTTTTGGGATGTCTTGAACCGTCCTGTTTTGTCCTGGTACCGATTTTAATGGGAAAACAAAAGGATAACATCTTGTACTATCCCGTTCCGAACCATTATTATAAAACGGGTTTAGTACCGGGACAACCCAATTCCAGTCCCGTGTCGGACCGTGCCCACCCTAAGGCTGACTGTCTACGGTAAGGCAGGGGGCGAAAATTCTAGTGGTAATTACCCGGATGGTATACTTTTTGAATGCCCTATATCATTTATAGCCCAATCACTTTTCCTTTTCATTTTTAACTTTGAAGTTTTCGATTTAATTTTATTATTTCACTTTTGGTCAGTTTTGTCAAACCTTCTTGAAGAGAGATGATACACAAGGGAAATTACCTATCGGCTTTCTCATCGCGGGTGAAGAATTGTGAGAGAGCCAACGTAGAGATCGTAGCATGACTTCCAACTCTCTTCTCAGGGATGGAGCTATGTTGGAATGCTCGTCCCAACACCGCCAGACAGCCCGGTGGCCAGACGATCGATCTGCTGCAAAGCCGTAAGACTATATTCTTCCAATGCTTCTCAAATTAGAGGTATTCAGATAAATTTTTTACGACTTCTCTACCAAATCTAAGGCAGATTTTAGACAAAAAAGTCAGAGTTGTGAAACATAAGGATGGCAGATTTTTGGGAAAGGCGGACGGAATAGATCTATTTCTTGAAATTGATATTTTAGGGGAGTACAAAAGGTGAGTGTGAGCATGTTCCGTTCTTTAGCTGTTTCTCTGTGCCGCCTCAGGAAGTAAGCTTGAAAGGGTCAGGACTCATTGCCTTCTCATTTACTCTTGTGCACGCCTTATTTGGACTCTTTAATGTTCTAACTAAATGGTATGCACTGGTCTTGCTAGTGGTTTTTGAGCTTCTTATGCCAAATGTCTCGTTTCTTGAGCACCTGTCTGGTATTTTGTCTGGATTTGCATATACTAATGGTTTCTTCAACATTCTAATACCCGATACATCCCGCTTTTCATCAATTGAATCATCCTCATGTCTTTCATCTTGTGTGAGGAGACCAAAGTTTATGATGTGCACCGGGAATGTTTTGAGGTCACCTTCCAACATATTTAAGTCAGAATACAGCTTAAAGTGGACTGCACTTCGGAAATATGTGGATGAACTGGTCTTCACTGATGCTACAGAGTGGAAATTCTCATCCCACTCAGTCCATGCAAGATGATAATCGTTTCCTTGGAGCCGGGAGGAGCCTTGCATCTGGTGTAAATCGAGCTGCTTCTATAGGAAGTCCTGATTCAAATTTAATGGTTAGTCTGCTAGATAATATTGACAGCCTAGAGCATGTGTCAGCTTCAATACATGGCGGACAACAGAGGCCTTCATCTTGAAGGTCAGAAGCCGTGAATACAGCTGCAGCAGTGCAAATCCCCTAGGGCCATATGTCCCATCAGATCAAGACACTCAGAAACTGGTTGCAATGGGTTTTGATAAGACCCAAATTGAGGTTGCTCTAGAAGTTGGTGATGGAGATTTGAATGTTGCCGTAGAAATTCTTATGACCCAAAACTCCAAAAGGAATAGTTTCTTTGACCAGGCTCACTGAATCAAAGTTGTTGAGTGATGTCTTCTAAAACCTAATGAATGATGATATTCCAGTACCCTCATCGTTATGTATATATGATTCTTAGATTTGTCTTTTCTCTAGTTAACTGAATTGAAACAGGCATACTAAGGTTGGAGTATTGACATGTTAGGCTCTATTGACATGTTAGGCTCCACAGATTACATATAGCAACATGGTGACTTGCCTCTATTGACATGTTAGGCTCCACAGATTACATATAGCACACTAGATGTTTTATACCCAAAAAATGTTTTTTTTTGCATCATACATGTTTCTTTTTGTTGACGCTTTTACATGTTATCTTGTCGTTTTTTGTTGCATCATGTTGCATTTGTTGCATCATGTTGCTTATTGTTGCATCGTGTTGCTTATCGTTATTATAGGTGATTTTGAGTTTTTGTTATTTATTTAGATCAATGTTTATCTTTGCTACATTTTTGAAGTAAGAAATCATATATGAATATGTGTCCAATTACATAAAATTGATAAATTTGAATATATGAATATTAACCAACCACAAGAAACATAAAGAAACAATAAAAGCAAAGAATTTTAGAGTTATCAACAAAAGGAAACAAAAAAACAATAGCCAACAACAACAAACAACAAAATTATATAATAAGTATTTTTAGATTTTCTAACAATTAAAAAATGAATTACAAGATTCATATTTTAAAACTTTTTTTTTAATGCTAAACTTTTTTCATTTTCTTCATTTTCATTTTTTTTTATTTCTTGAATTTTATGTTTTATATAAATTATGGGGTATACAAACTCTTTAAAAAATATATAACAACAAATCTTATTTCTTACCCATCCAAATATGATTATTTTTATTTTCGAGTTATGTATTTATAAGTTGTTTTCAATACGCATTTTTTCATTTTTCTAATTAATTTCTAAAATGTAAATACCTTTTCTATTTTTAAAACTAATTTAGAAGTATTTTCCAGAAAAAAATTAATTTAGAAGTGTTAGAATTTAGTGCCCGTTTGGAGGAGTGAAAATCAGCTTATAAGCGTGAATATGCATAAAAATCACCAAACAACCTCTTAATGGGCCGATTTGGTTGATTTTTATCATCAGCTCAAAAAGTAGCTTTAAGGCTACTTCTTTGACTGAAATTTATTATTGTGGCGTTAAGATATTGAAATACGTATTTATCCTTCTTGAAGACTTCACGTTCCACTCCTCCAGAATTGTAGATTCAATTCTTTCTGAACTTTCATAATTGCTCAATATCCCTATCTCATGAAGCTTGGTCTAATAATTAAGTTGTTGCAAGTCTTGTTTTTTATGTGGCGTTAAAATTATAGGTTTGCTTTATTTTGAGTTTATGATGGTTTTTATAACTCACCAGTAATTCTATTTTCTTCCGACTTAAAATCTTGAATTCTAAATACTTTTAAGTACGGAGTATTATAAATACTTTGTCGTGTTTCTAAACACGGGTATGAAGGTCTGGGATATTTTGTAGCCTAATAAGGGTTTAGGGAGTAAGGGGTGTATTGTAATCTAATGTATTGAAAACATAAAAAATTAATATCCTCTTTGGTAATTTTACATTTAATCAGCCATTCCAGCCAACATATTACCAAACACTTTCACTTCAGCAGATTCAGCCTTTTCAGTCTTTTCAGCAGTTTCAGCCATTGCACCAGCCGTTACCAATGGGACCTTACACTTTATATTTATTAGTATGCATGTTCTGATTTTTCCTTACGTCTAATATTTGTATATTTTAATTTTATATTTTTCTTTTACTTTATTTTTACCATGCTTTCAATATAAAAACTTAGATTAAGTTAATATGGGAGCTTAGTTTGTACGACATGTTATTTTATCAAAAAAGATGGTTTAGAGCACTACGCTACTGCATGGGTTCTTGATGTGCGCTTTTTAAAACATAAACAACGGTGGATGGCCGGTTTTATATAGACGTGGAAACATGTCTATTTGTGAAAAGTAAAAGTCAACTAGCCTGTTTTTGATACTCCCTCCGTTCTTAAATATGGTTCTTAAATATGAGTACTCTTAAGTTTTGTCACGGGTTTTAAGAGGAAAATAATAGAGGTATTGTAAAAGGTGTAGTGTGTTGTGGGTAAATGAAAAAGTAGGAAAGAGAAATAGGTAATGATAATAAAAGTGGGAGTATAAAGATATTTTGAATGAAAAAACTTACCAAAAAAGGAAAGAGGAACAAATAATTAAAAACGTCACAAAAATGAATGCGAGACCGTTAATAAAGAAGTGAGGGAGTATTATTTCCCTTTTTAGTCTACTTAATTTTCCCAAAATTCTAAGTACCGATTTTTACCGTGTAACACTAACTCTCAAACACAACTAGAGGTACGAGAAGCATCACAAGCATAATCAGAGAAGCCGGCGAAGGGAGATGCCCGGAATCACAGGACCATCCGATTACTTACAAGAACCCAGTCGCCATCCCTGCCTTAAAATCAATTCTAAGGTATCTGTAATCCTCTTCGCTCCCGGTTTTATAGTCTGCTTATAGAAGTATATTGATTTGGGGAAATGTGGAAGGATGCATTTGATATCATGTTCTCCGTGTTTTTTCCCATCCACTGCGTATAATAAGAGTTCTTTGGCAATTTATGAGGAGTTTGTGCTTATCACGGTAATAACTAATTCGAAAGTGCAAATTCGTATTGGGGCAGGAGCCCTTTAATGCCGAGCCACCTCGTTCTTCTTTGGTCACATCTTATGTGACTCCTGTAGATCTCTTTTACAAGCGAAGCCATGGACCTATTCCTGTAATAGAAGACATCGAGAGGTTTCTGCTCTGCTGCTTCTCTGTTAGAAATTTGTCTTGCTCAAATGATTTTTGCAGTAAATGTATGTTCATATGAGCAGATATTCAGTCACCGTATCTGGTCTTATTGGACATCCATATGAGCTCTTCATGAGAGATATATGGTGAGATTCAGCAACTTGTCATTTTCTTTTATCAGTATCATGAAGTGATAACTCATATTACCCTCTGAATTGCAGGAAACTTCCCAAACATACTGTTACTGCCACTTTACAGGTGAAGTTTATCTCATTTTTCTTCAAGCCTGTTATTAATGATTTTGCATCAAGTGTCCATAATATATTGATACGGCTTTTCCAGTGTGCTGGTAATAGGAGGACTGCGATGAGTGATACTAGAAAAGTCAAGGGAGTTGGCTGGGATGTTGCTGCTTTAGGAAATGGTTAGCTGATTGAGCTTTCACTCCCATTTATGTATGGAACTATGAAAAGAAAGTGGTTTTCTTTATAATGAAGCTGGGAATTCTTATAAAGCTAATTTTATAATAATAGTCTTAAGGTGAACAGCTTACTCCACAACTATGATATCTTTGTTCGGGAAAACCATTTTCAGCTATTTGGGCTGGAGCAAGAATGGCAGACGTGCTAGAGCTTATTGGCATACCGAAGCTGACTAGTTCAACGCTATTTGGAGGAAAGCATGTTGAGTTTGTAAGCATTGATAAGTGTAAGGTGATGATTTGGTTATCTTGAATGTGCTTCATGATTTCTTACAATGCATATTGATTCATATTGGTAGAGGTGATTGACATATTTATTACCACAGGAGGAAAATGGAGGTCCTTATAAAGCATCCATCCCACTAAGTCAGGCCACAAACCCTTTAGCCGATGTCTTGCTGGCTTATGAAATGAATGGGGAGGTATTATTTCTCATCATTTGATAATTAATATATCTGCACCATAGTTCCCATCTCTATTGATCATGAGCGGTTTTGTGCCATCACATTATTTATTTTGATTTATGCTTTCACTAATATGTTCTTTAGAAATGAAGTGGTAGCTATAAAAATAGTTGTGTATTTTCCTTCAGATTTCATGTATTTTCCTTTTGTTTTTTCCTAGTTTGTAAATATTTTTAAATGTTTTTATAATTTTATTTTCTTTTATTCTATTCTGATGCGATCTTACTGGTTTCAAATGAAGGTGCTCAATAGAGACCACGGCTATCCGTTGCGTGTGATTGTCCCAGGAGTAATAGGCGCTCGATCTGTTAAGTGGTTAGATTCTATCAACATCATTGTTGAAGAATGTCAGGTGCTCACTTGTTTTTTCATTTAGTATGATGATATTATCTGCCTTCCAATGCACTAACTTCGTAGCAGTGGTCTACAGGGATTCTTTATGCAAAAGGATTATAAGATGTTTCCACCTTCAGTTGATTGGGATAACATCAATTGGTCTAGTAGAAGACCACAGATGGATTTCCCAGTGCAGGTAACTTCTTCATGCCATTTTGTGAAGTAACACGTTGAAATTTCTTCTTATCTCACACGGCGAAACACTAAATGCCCAATCTCCTTTTCTAGGCTGCAACAAAATAAGTGTCACCTACACATAAAGTAAGCCAATTTTATTTCTTTTGAATATGCAGATAGCCTCTGTGAACATGAATGCATTTAGTTGATGCCATACACATATGGCATTATGGCACTGCAAAAGTATGTTAGTTGAGTTTTAGATGGATAATAGCTAAACTGATGAGTGATGATTGATCTTAGAGTAAATGTTAAGCTTGTGATACTCTTGAACACTCCATCTCCCTTCACATTGTGATCAATTGGCCTTGAATAAGTTAAAAAACTCATAAGTCTTATTTATTCCTGCCAGAATTTAAATCAGTGTTTGCTCATTTTATCCTTCTGCTCCTAAGGATGTATGTTTATCAAACAAAGTATAATGAGATCATGTACTTTTAAGCGTGTGTTCTTTTTCCTCCCAAAAATTTGGTGTTGGGATCCTGTGCTCTCTCAGGTGTTTGGAGTCATTGCCTTAGTTCTTGGATACAAATCACCTCGTACTATCTTCCTGTCTTGTTCTTGTCTGCTAATTTGAACAAAATAACCAATTGTCCTTCCCCATACCAAAAAATTATATAAATAATAGAAGCAAAAACAACTTGTCTCATGCAGAAGATGAAATCTTTATACCGATCTCACATACGTTGTTTATTGTTTACAGAGTGCAATATGTTCTTTAGAGGATGTTAGTGTTGTAAAGAATGGAAAGGTTAGTATTATTATGCTTAATTTTGTTGCCTTTCATCTGCAAATTTGCGATACAGATCTAGTTTTGTTTTTATGAATTTCAAAAATGCAAATTGACATTGGCTGCTTGTAGCACGGCTGTGTTGTGTAAAAAGCCATATATATCATTTAAAGCTTTGTTTAGTTTAGGAACAAAAGGTTTTGATTGTGTTGGTGATGCACTATGATGGCATGCATTCCACCAAAATGATCACAGCTCATTAGGTTTGTTCTTTGTATTTTTAGTTTGTTTGGTTTAGTCTTTTTAATTTAATTTGGCTGAGCTTTCCTTTGCCAATTATATTCAGTATTTGATTTGGTTTAGTCATTCAAAATTGGTTTTGTCACAGAGACTCTAAATTCCCCTTTTGAAGTGTGAACGAATCTTTTGCTTCCATCAGACCTTCACACTAGAAAATCAGGAATCATTAGATACTGGTTTTACTGCAGAGATATCAAATTCGATCTTTAAAGTGTAACTAGATCAATTCTAGTTCTAGCCTTAAAAAGTTATTGCATTCAATCCATGAGTTCAGAATCTTTTTTATCTTATGCAAGCCATATTGGGTGATGCAATTTTTTCAGATGACTATCAAGGGGTATGCAGTTTCAGGTGGCGGAAGAGGCATCGAGAGGGTAGATATATCTATTGATGGTGGTAAAACATGGACTGAAGCCTCCAAGTACCAAAAAACAGGTGTTCCATATGTTTCTGATGATTCAAGTAGTGACAAATGGGCCTGGGTTCTGTTCGAGGCTGAGGTTAATGTTTCACACAGTGCTGAGATAGTAGCCAAAGCGGTATGTTTCAGCACATTTCCGATCATAATCTTACACATCACTAGTCTTTCTTAAGCAATATTGCATTCTGTGAACCTAACAATTTCAGGCAATCTTATACTACCTCTGTCCCATAATGGTTGTCTCATTTCAATTTAGCACGATTATTAATAAAGTGGTTGAAAAGTAAAAGTTGTGGTTGAGATTTGAGTAGAATAAAGTGAAATGATATGGACCACAAATTTCTTACCAAAAAGGGAAACATGACATTCATTTTGGGACAACCCAAAAAGGAAATTAAGACAACCAAAATGGGATGGAGGGAGTATTTTCATAATCTTACATATTCTTCTAGGAGTTCCTACTGCCTGAAGTAATCTTATATTCGATGAACCGAACACTTGTATCTAAACATTTCAGGCAGTTCTAGTGACTTGGTATTTCCTTGTGTTAGTTTCCTCTTCTAGAATGAAAGTCATATTAATATATGTAAGCTCGATGCCCGGAATATAAGTTTGACATAGAACTGTTCAAGAAGTTGTTTTACTCGCAATATTATACTACGTATAATGTTGGGAATAGTGCAAATATATGTTGACCTCTAGGTGCATATTTTCACTTGCCATCTTTAGGTTCATGTCCCTAAGGTGAAAATATGTTACTAATGTTTCTCTCTAAGGTGCAGATTTGGCCCTCATTGACAAATATTCCCAACTCATATACAATAATTTAATGAAGAGTAGAAAAGATTTTATTTTAAAAGGAGAAAACTGTCAAAAAGGCCCTCCTACTATATAAAAAATGTCAATTAAGTCGCCATACTTAAATATCACCCAATTAGATTCTTCAACTAATTAAAATCAATCAAACTGTCATTAAGCTGGTAACCAACAGGTATTCCAGTTAGCTCGCTCACGTTGCCGGTATGTGTTGTCATTTTTCAACTTTTATCTTTCTCTTTTTCCTTTTTCCTTTTTCCTTCTTCACCATCTCTGCCTTCCTCATATTCCTTTGTTCTCGGTTCCCCCTGTAATGTTCCTCCATATGCAAATCAAAACCTTCTGCTTCATCTAATATTTGTTCCCGAAGGTCTTTGTTTTCAGGAAAAAGCAAATTCCAGACTTTTATCATTGTAAATTCATTTAAAGCAATCGACAAATTCGGGTGAAATAGAAGATCTACATTATCAAATTATTTTGTTATAAAAGATCTCTCTTACTATTATTATCTCACATGCATCAATTTCTCTATTTCTTTTTCCCTGATTTTCAAATTTTCCTTTCTTTTCAATTTTCCTGTTTACTTCATATAATATCCAAATGAAGATGATTAAGTATGATCTGGATCTAAAAAAACTGAAAATTTGTTCAAAAACATATATGTGATTGAAGTGCAAGTTTGATTTGGAGCCTAATTTCTGCTAGATCTAAAAAATCAGGTATTGTGGTTTTTTATAGAAGAAAAATCTATAGAAGTTGATGAGAAGAAGAAATAAGAACATACAAGATAAAATAGAAAATAATGGAGAGTGAAAAGAAAGAAGAAAAAGAGGATGGGAAAATGAAAGAGAAAAAAATACTTCGAGTGAAAGAAAGAAGATATGAGATGAGGGATGGGACAAAATTTATCAAAAATTTAAAACAAATACTCATGTGGGTGGACAACCGGAAAACTCGTGAACGACTGGCTATGTAACTGATTTGAGTGCTTTTACAACTTCGGAGTTTGATCAACTGTTTTTCTAGTACAAGGGTTTAGTTGCCTTTTTCAATATAGTATGATGGTAATATTTGTCAATTTTCCTTTTTAAAAACCTATGCAGTCTGTGTTTATATGACTTTTTTTTGTTTGAATTGCATGTATACCCCCCTTCTATATGAAAATGCATATGGTTATATAATATTTTAACATTCTAGTTGTAGCACAGGTTTAAGGTTAATTTGGCAAAACTTTAAAGATATGCATGGCATGATTTTTTTTTTATTTTCCACTTTCTACATATTAAATCTATTATTATTTTTATGTAAAGCTGATTAAACAACTTTTTACTAAAATTGATTGATGACAGGTAGATTCCTCTGCAAACGTGCAACCTGAAAATGTTGAAGATATATGGAACTTGAGGGGAATACTGAACACCTCCTGGCATAGAGTTCAGGTGAGGGTTGGCCACGCCAACCTGTAGACCTATTATTGCTCAGCTATCGTTCCACACTTCTAAAATGCGGGATGTTTCAGTTTAATTTGCTTTTAAGAACTGCATTTTCTTGACATTTATGTTATGTTATTAAGGTTATCTATCTACTTAGTTAATGCATGAACTTTCCTGCAATCATTTTCAGGAAAAAAACTAGAGTTCATAAGTTGTTTATAATTTTCTTCGCTATTTGCCATCTCTATGACAACAATAAGCCCTCGAACACATTTAAATAACTAACATTTGACATTATGTAGACTCCACATGCACATTAAATCATTTAATTAGTTCGTACAAAGATGAAACGGCTAATGGAAGTCTAGAGAAAAAGTAGGAGAAAAAACGTAAAGAACATACCCTTAGAACCTATCATGTTACTCGTATTCTTATTGTTTATTCCGTATTACTTATTCTTATTTTATTCAGACAAGATCAGATAAAAAGTCAAATAAGATTAGCCCAAAATATTCAATCTATATTAGATTAAATCAGAAAAAATCAGATTAGATCAGAAAAATTCAAATCATAAAGGTTCAAACATAATTTATTATTTTTACTATTATGATGATTTCAATTTAATCTACATATTTTTGTAGGTTATTATTGTACGTTGCTTCCATTGAAGTTAATTATGAATACTGTTTTTATTATAGTCATTATTTGTATGTTATTCAGAAAAAATCATATTAGATTAGATCTTAAATTTTTTAGATCATAAATATTCATATCTGGCGAATATAACAACTTAATAACAACCATAGTAATGAAGTATAATTCTCGGAATAAATACCATATCAATTCAGTTTCCAAAATAATTGTACAACATCAATTTTTTTAAATAATGACTCTAAATCTGTAATATATGTAATAGGACTCTAATCATAAAAAAATAATCTTACACATTTGAATGAGACTTTAATTTAAGACCAAATTTTTAAATAATGGATTTTTAGTTCACGTGAAGGGATTCTAATCGAACAACACCAATAATACACGTGAATATTCAAAATAATGCAAAATTGTAAGCTCCACATATTCCCAACTCCAATTCCACACTTCTTATAATCATCCTCATCATATAATTAGTCAAATAAATAATTAATAACTATCACAATACTAAGCACATAAATCACAATATAACCCCAAATTCATACTCCAAAAGATGGCGATTCATCATCCATATTCTATGGTGGTGGTTAGTTCATACTACATTCGTCCCTCTTTATTTAGCCATAATTGACTTTTCCATAGGGGTGGACTCGGGCCGGGCCAACTGGACCGGCCCGCTACTGTGCGGCCCCGGCCCGGCCCGGCCCGGTGAATCGGTTCCGGGCCCGGTGGGATGGCGGTTCGGGCTCGGGCCCTTCAAAAGGTGAACCGGCCTGGCCGGTTCGAGCCCGGACCAGGTCAATATTTTTTTTTTTGAATTTGTTTTAAGTTTTTGGGTTGGGTTGGGTATTTTGGGCCATTTGAGGTGGTTAGGGTTGGTTTGTGGGTGAGGGGGAGGGTTGGGGGTTAACTAGGAAAAGCCAAAAAAAAAAAAATAGAACCGAGGCCTGGCCCGGCCTGGCCCGGCCCGGACCCGGGGGTTACCCGGGCCGGTTCCGGGCCTCCCCTTCTTGAACCGAGGCCCGGCCGGGCCCAGGCCCGAACCGGAACCGGTCCATCCCTACTTTTCCAATCAAAGATGTTAAACTTTGATCTATTATTTTAACTAATATATTTATGTGAAACTTAATAAATTTATACTTTTATGAGCAGAAAGTTTTAATAAAGAACATTTTCATATCATCTCCCTATTATCATTACTATCGTATATAAATATATAATCGGTCAAAGTTCAACACCATTGACTTAAAAATAGTGTTTGGTTAAATATAAAGCGAAAGAGAGAATATCCTATGAATAATTCACAATGTTTATCAGTATTTGTCACATCACTCATATCAAATTAACATTACCGGGGCATGCCCCGGTGTTACACTAATTTACTAATATAATTATAAAATCATCTTCAAAGTTAGTACTCAAATATGGGTAGTATTTAAAAATATGATTTAAGGTTTTCAAATTGAGGAATAAAAACAGTACATATAAAATACAATATAGTACGAGTATGTAAATTATTAGTAATTTCCATATTAACACTGTAAAATGATGGAATCAATATTTTCTATTGAATGTACATGTGTTAAGAATGAGAAAATACACAAGTAGAATCAATTTCAATTTTTTGCATTATTTATATCAACTTTCATATTGAAATTTTTGAATTAAGAAATTGAAACAGTACTAGTTAAATCAAATACCCCTATGTTCTTTTTAAATGCAACATTGGACTTTTTTCACTATTCACATGTTCTACTTACTCTATTTTATTTATTAATGTATTAAATTATTTTTTCAAAAAAATTTGTTAAATTCTTCTCATTTCATATTTTCAAAATCTATTTTTTTTTAAATTTTTTTACTAATAAGAAATGAATGATATTAATGGTCAAACTTGTATGTTAGCAAACATGAAAAATGGACCGTTGCATTTAAAAAAGAATAGAGGAAGTATAAAATATAATATAATAGTAAATTATCATGCACATTGAGTGATTTTCAATTAAAATATAAAAACATATTTCCCTTCATTGTTTTATTCCAAAGTATTTTTGTGATTCAATTGTATTGCATTTTCTTTAGGGATGGACTCGGGCCGGGTGGCCCGACCCGGAACCGGCCCGACCCGGTGGCCCAGTCAGTGACCGGTCCGGGTAGGCCCGGCCCGTGGGTTTTCCGGTCCGGGCTCGGGTCACCCAAAACAAGGCCCGACCCGGCCAGGCCCAGGCCCGGTTCGGGTCAAAAACTATTTTTTTTTTCAATTTTTTTTAAATTTTCGGGTTGGGCTGGGTATTTTGGGCCATTTGGGGTGGTTTGGGGGTTGGGGGTGGGAGGGGGGTTAATTAGGAAGAGGAAAAAAAAATATATATAATGGGCCCGGCCAGGACCCGACCCGGTGGTTACCCGGGCCGGTCCCGGGTCCACCATTTCTGACCCGCCGGCCCGCCCGGGCCTAGGCCCGACCCGGACCCGACCCGGACCCGAGTCCATCTCTAATTTTCTTCATCTATTTGAGTTTTAAACTAGACATTTTTTCTACATTTTCTGTTACATTCTCTTCGTCTATTCGAGATTTCGAGTGTTACATTCTCAACAAGTCGATTGCAATGGAGAATGACTTCTTTTGTTATTTGGTAATTACAATGGTTTAGATTTGAAGAAATTGTCCAAAACAAGACTAAAAATGTTCACAACAAAAATAGTACAATTATGTTTTGATTTCCTGCTTTACAGTTATGCCAAGTTCAAAAATAGTACAATTATGTTTTCATTTCCTGCTTTACAACAAAAAGAGCAGTAAGTGCCAAGTTTTGGCATTATAAAAGATGTTAGTATTTTCCATGCTTTACAGTAATTATTTATATTTAGGGAATAAAAAAAATGGCAATCCAATTTTAGAATTTCATTTTTACTCAGATTCTCTTTAATTTAACACCATATATACTCATCTTCGGCGGGCATTTTTGTTCATCAAGTTATAAACACAAATCAGTAAATCACGTAATGTGCCTTCTTGTGCAGTTGTGCACCATAAAAGTTGGTCAAGCTTAATTTACACGTGGAATAAGAAAGTAAATTTTGGTTTTACTTCAAATTTAGAAGAGCTGGGTGACAGGAAAATAAACTGTGCTAGATGATCTGAAAGAAGTCAATTGACAATAAACAGTGTTCCTGTCGAGCGTGAATTTGGACATTCATTACTTCAAAACTCAAACAAGGAAGGTCCATTCTTCATAATTAGAAGCTTACTCTCAACCCATTGCATGCCACGAGAAAATCAAATATGTTAGGCTGTTGTTCCGCGGTTTCAGCACAGCTGCGTCTAGGAGGATCATGACATCAAGAGATATCTTACCCAAACAAGAACTTTAGGCATTACCTTAGGGTGAAGGTATCACCAGATCTGAAGCATCCACAGAATCGACCAAAGAACGAAACCATACAACATCATCTTTAGTACACACAATAAGAGATGATGTGCATCCTGGGTCAAACCAAAGGTTAAATACAAGTCTCCCACGTCGGTTTCTGCACACATGAAAAGGTTGTGCACACTCTCTGATCTCAATGCTCTATTAAAGCGGCATCCATTTCTGATAGTGGTGCTGCAAAAAGAAAACAAACGTTAATTAATAAAGGAGAGAGTGTAGTCAAAAGAAATAATCAAGAATGTGAAACAAAAGGAAAGCACATTTAGAAAGAAGTCAAATAACACATAGGAAAGAATGACCAATCACACCCCATTGAAAAGGATAGATTCAATCACTTTGGGGAGGAAGGAAATCCAAGTGCAAATACATGACCAAGTTAGTCACTAATATATAATAATAAAACCTTCATAGTGATAATAAAAGGTTAACAACTATTTCAACTTGTCATCATCTCATTACATCTATCATGCAAGTGCAAAAATCGTAAGATGATGAAAGTTCTGGAATTTCATCTGATTTCTTCTTTAGAAGAATGTTATACCAAGGACACCAAGCAAAAAAATTGCCATGTGCTTTTTTGGATAAAGTTAGTGTCAAAATTTTAGTCAATTCAATTGTCACAATAAACTGCATGCTACCAAGGACAGACATTAAGGTGTTGTTGATGACGATGACACGAAAAAAGTAATCACAAACTACACACACCATAAAACTATTAGCCACCTGTGCATACATGCAGATAATTGATTTTTCATGACTCATAAAAATGGACTCCAATCTTTACACATTTTGTTTTTACTTTTTCATAGAGATGGGTATGGCTTAAAACAGACATGCTCAAGGAGCTGAAAAATTGGCCATTAGGGTTCATTTCAAGTAGGGAGAATAAAAATAAATGGTAAGTTGAGTGAGTTGCAACAGCCAACAGTAGCTCAAGCATCAAAGATTAGCTAAGATATTAAAAGAATGTTCCTGAAAGGAATGAGTTCATGTGTACCGATGAGAGTTTCTAAAATTAAAGCAAACCCCACAACACGCATACATACATAAATATGGACAGAAACATACCGAGCAAGTCCTCATAACCATCACCAAAAAATGAAGTGTCAATAAGCAAAGGGGGTGAAAATGCTTCGTTTGGAGTTTCATCCACATCATAAAACGATCTGGGTGCATCAGAAATTGAAGAGTTTGAACCAACAACAGAGAGGAAACCATTCACAGCATCGAAGTCATCAAAAGAATCCAGATCAGTTAGTATATCTGGTACCCCATCAGACTTGCCACCAGCATTATTTTCAGAACCACTAGTTACAAAATAAGATGAGTCTGATCCAGAACAAAACAATTGTTCAGTGCCTGACAAAATTGATTTGTTCTCTTGACCAGTACGAGAAAATCCAGCTGCTCCAGAATGCGGTACAAAGTAATGTTCTGAGCTGTCATCAGCATGACTACCTTGTGATGATTCTAGATTACATGATTGGGACAAAAGGGCAGCTTCCCTAACTGAGCGTTTCAAGTTTTGTACAAAATAAATGTCATCATCTGCAAAGATAAGTATAAGAAAATGGGCATCATTGGAAAAGTTCAACTGGAAAAAAGGATAAAAGAACTGTGGCAAAGTTAATTGTGCATGTTGCACAGTAGCATATACAAACCTTGTGATGGGTTATCCATATGATTATTTGACAGAGGCTGGTCCATTATTTTTTTCTCTGACGTGTTTTCTATGTGCATGGTTTGTGCCAGCATATGTCTCTTCTGCGTGTTCTCACCTTTCCCGGAAGAATTAGGTGTAAGACTAAATAATGGTGGAAGCTTCAAAACAGGAGGGCTTGCTGATACATTCTCCAGCTGAATGGCTGACAATCTAGAGTTCATGTCAGCAACCTCATCAATGCTATTGTCCTGGACAAGACAAGACTGAACTTAGCGAGAAACTTAGAATCAGCAATACAACAATGAAACTTTTATTCTATAAAGAACTTACCAATGCTCTTCCACTACTTTGTGGTTGGATAGGTGAGTTCGATCTGTCATGGTGTTTGGTCAATGCAGGCAAAGTAGAAGAAATGCTATTAACCTCTTCATTTAGTTCCGAAATTGAACTCTGTATACTTGGAGCAACTTCCTTCAGTTGATTAATAAGAACCTGCAGAGTAAAAGTATATTCATCCAGAATATTTAGTTGCAGATAAAAATGTAATTAAAAGCCCAACTCTAATATACCAATCAATACATATTGTCATGTTGAAATTAATTATTCTCGTTCATTAAGTAATTGACTATTATCCAGCAGTTTTATTAATGGTGGAAGGGGGATTAGGGAAGATTGCAAAATTTCCACCATGCTGCCATTTGACAACACTTCTATCAGCAGACAAGTTGCATTAGTACATGTCTTCACCTGTATGCTGGCTAGATGTTGCTGATGTTCAGCAAGTGTTGCTGCTAATGATTCAGCATGACTACTTGTGCCACCACCATGTGAGGTTCGTAGAAGCTCTGGTCCCTCTCCATCATTTGCTTTTGCCTGCATAAAACATAGATTCATTATTACTTCTTCTGTTTTTAAAGGACTGTTGCTTTAGAGAAAACACATATATGGCCAAGTAACTTTCACGTAACAATACCAAGAGAGCATTAATTGCTCATTTTCCACCATTGTCCTGTGTCCATATATTCTTCATTGTACCCTAAACCTAATAGGGTATTCGAGTCATATTATAGTCTTTATATTGATTTTAGAGATAATAATTGTTTCATTAAGGTATGTAAAACCCTTAAACGTCAATTAACTTAAGAACAGATCATGTAAGAAACAGATTACAAGGTCATATTTTTTGTCATTAAAAGAAAAAAGTCAAGATTGTTCCCCGTTGGCAATTAAGACACCATAAAAACATAGAAAGAAGGTGAAAAACTTTTCTTCAGAATAACCTTTATATTGCAATTTAGATCCTTCACTACATATTTTACAAACTCCAAAACTCCACCAGGTCGGGGCATGTGATGTGTTTCATTGGGAAGGTATACCAGCAACGCATGGGGAACAGGGCAAGGGACAAATAAGCAGCAAAATAAGGAATTTCTTGTTGGCAAACTTATTCGTTACCTCGGTTTCATTGAAGAATGGTTTTATGTAATTCTCTTTCCTTGTGAGAAACTTTTTGAGTAATGTAATCCTTGCTATTAGTAAGAGCTTTGGTGTCGGTAACATGACAATAAAGGAGAAGGGAACTCTTTAAAAACCCTAAACACATTGTACTCTCTTGTTACTATCTTCTGCACACAGTCAAGCCCCCTCTGTCTCTCAGCAAGCATAGATGAATCAGAGTCTTGTATCTTCAGTAATCGCAGGTCCAGGAATGCTTAGACCAGGAACATAACATCCTGGCTCCATTTCTGGGAACCGAAAGTGTCCCCCTAGGGAAAGACTAAAAAGATAACTAACTAAATCAAGAGCCAAGGGTGCCAGGTCATGGTTGTATGATTCATTTTATGAGTCCTGGCAGATCTTGCAGTAATACTTGGCATGGGATACAAGGTGTCCACTTGGCACGTTAAGACTCTAGTTGGGCATACAAATTGCAAAGCCAAGAATTGGAACAGAAAGGCAAGCCACAGTTTATTGGGAGAAGCGTTTAAAATAAAGAACAAATTGTTGTTCAATACAAATAGCATACCAATTGAAGAGATTGTTTATGGATTCGTTGTAGGGCATGTGTCCAACGTCTCAAAACTTCTGCTACATCAACAGTAGGGTGGCCTCTTGAGGTTCTGTCATCCATTCGTGAAAATACTTCCTCATTTCCTTGCATATGGGAAGAATCTGAACAGACTTTGTAATTGTCTCTATATAAATCTTCTCGTGATCCTTTGGTTTCACCTTTCTTATCAGAATGTGATGCACTCAAGTCAACAGGAACTGCAGAGCTTTGGTCCATTGCAGCAAGTAAGGATGACCCAGAGATTCGATACCTAGACATTTATAAATAAGACTATAAGCCAAATTTCACCTGTAAGCCTTAACTGTACCAATGCAGACAATTACCTATGTTCACGGTGAGCTATAAGATCCTCAATGGGGCCTGAGGCAAGGACCTCATGCTGGCCTGTCAAATTATATTAATGCAGATATTATCCATGCCTTGTGATAACTAACTCACTTTGCTATTTGGCTAAAAGAACACCGTTGAAAAATAGCAATTGATATCAAATTGTAGTGTGATTATAATCTGGCAAATCCTGATGTATCAAAGCTAAATTGAAGTTCTAATTGTGCCTACTTACTCTTTCGAGACAGTAACGAGTCCCACAAGCGAGTTGCTCTCTGAACCATGTGAGAGTTTTGACTGGAGCTAGATACAAGTTCATCCCACTGTTCACCCTCCACCTTGACCTTGTTTCTCAAATCATGCAACTTTTCAAGTTCTTGTTGCAAATATGCCTGAAGCACAATTTTAAGGAAGCACAATGAGGGACAAACATTCACCAAGTCAGTAAATGGATATGGGAAAGCCCTTAATGAAATACATAAATATACTTTTTTTACCTCTTCCGCACAAAGACCACGAAATTCTGATGTCATTTCATGGGCCAAATTAGACCAAATTGCCTGTCTATGTACAGCTGTTTCTGCATTTTTCAGAAATCTCCTTCTTTCAAGAGCAATCCTAGCCTTGTTAATGAAAGGAGACTCAAATTAGAAGGCATCTTCACAAACACATTACTTACCCAAACAACGAACTAGCATGCACAATAAAGTAAATATTTGATCAAATGTGCAAGGTTCCAGCATGGGAGATAGGTGCTTGAGGAACAAAGCCAATGAGCCATGACCTGATTTCTGATTGAGTACTTGTATGGTATGCCAAGCACATGACTCATTGTCTTGTCAAATAATGATAAACATTTGAAAGATATGTTACCTTAGTTACAGGGAGTAGCGAGGCAGCATGTGAGAAAGCTACATCTGTCAATGAAGCAGGCAATGGACTAGAGGCTACATCAGCTGCAAACGTTCTCCTGTGAACCTCCCTCAAAGCATGCAAAGAAAGTTGCCAAAGAAGTTCAACAAATCTGTAGTTATGAGAAACATAGCATGAGTTTACTTTTTTGTACATCAGCATATCACTAGCTGTCACGTTCCATGAAGGTTAGCGTGATATCAATAGACAGTTTAGACACAATAGTGGCGTGTCAAGGATTTTTTCCTCAAAAGGGTGCAAGAACACTGTGATGTGAAATGTAACCAAATACATTGTTCGTATTAACAAATAACAACTAATTGAGTATGAGATCTTTGAATGGATGTCGTAAGAAAGCATTTCTCAAAGGTATCAAAACAATAGAGAAAGTTTTCGGGACTTCCATATTAGCCTTTCTGTTTTGTTTTTGTAATGAACTAATGATTATATGTAAGAACCCTCACAATTCCAAATGAATAGTTTGCATGTTAGGCCATGATCCAGTGATCCACTAGATTTTAAGTTTGGAACTTGTAAATAATTTTATGAAAAGCACACATCTATTTGTTTGATATGATAACAAAGCTGCCAAGAATTGTGAATGGCGAAAGATATATTGTCTACCTATGCTTCTTATGTACTGTTGACAATCAGGGATAGCATACAGACACATAAAGACTCTTCTTTTACTGAAGTGTATTACATTCACAACACATAAACAATACTTGCAAATCTCAACATAGAGATTACATGGTTTTGGATACGTGTGACAAAACCATGTGTTCAAGAACTCTTGATACCCTAAAATAACATTATGTGCTAGCTCCATGTTTACCGCATATGCCACAAAACTAATTAGAATTAATAATTCAATGCCCCCAGCTAAAGAGTATATACTTCTTTAAGTCTTTCCACAGGACAACAATAACACTTGGAACAATCTTTGACACCTTTTCTTCGAAGCACTCCGAGTTCTTGAACACTATTTTAGAACACCCTTTGCCATTTCAACACAAAAAATATACTTGCTTCCTTGGTGGAACAGTCAAATTACTAACACTTTTGGTCTCATAATTCATGTTGCACACCAATTGAAGTCAATCGTCCGCACGGGATTAGACGTTGAAGGAATGGTTGTAGGGACCAAAGAACTGATCACAACCGTAGCAGCGGTAAGCAACTAAGCAAGTAACATTTTTCGCGGGGTACTAATAGGCTTAGAGCATCTTCAATGCTACAATGTGCACGGTGCACATGTGGCATGAGAGATAGCCACATAAATATTATCAAATAAATTATCTCACTTTATTTAAATAATGTTATACAATTTTGGTAAGTTTTCTCTGCAATGTCAACCACAATGTCAACATCTAGAGTCTTCTTGACATTGCAGAGAAAAACATACCAAAATTGTATAAAATCATTTAAATAAAGAGAGAGATAATTTATTTGATAATAGTTATAAGGCTATCTCTCATGCCACATGTGCACCTTGCACATTGTAGCATTGGAGATGCTCTTAGCTCCCTTGAGACACAAAAACTCTTCAAATTGGAATTTCAGGAATACAATAGAATTTGACTGTTGTCGAGGCCTCAAGGGCAAAGCAATATTTAATGCCTAGCATTACTTGTGTGTGTCCTGTTGCATAACGATAATTACAACCGACAATAGGAATTTCCAGTGCAAGTTCCAAGCGTGTTTTTGTGTGTGAACACTGAAAAGATCTTCTTACAGAAATCCCAAAAATGGCGACATCCCTGACATCTCCCACTCTCCCTAAACATTTGCACGCAAAAGTCTATATATTGTTTAGATACTTAGAACTCGTATTTTAAATATTCAACTTAGATTCAACATTATTAGAAATCCAGCTTAGATTTAAATTATATAAATATTTATACAGGCAAAAGTCTATGTTTAAAAGAGGACAAAGCAAGCAAAATTTGTTAAAAATAATATTTTCTTTTTTTGGGTAAAAAAATCAAATCTAGATCAATACCGGTCTGGTCAGATTTTGAATAACCTGTCTTGGTCAACTCAACAACAACAACATCAAAGCCTTAGTCCCAAAAGATTTGGGTCGGCTAACATGAATCGATACATGATATCACAGCCAAAAAGAAAAGAAAGATAAAAAGATAAGGTGAGATAAAGGTAAAGAGGTTAAAAAGAAAATATATAAAATAAAAAGGATAAAAGGAATAAAAACATGAGAAAGATAAAGAAGATAAAAAGATAAAAAGAGAGAAAAGAGGTCAATCCTCCACCCAAATACTCACCCTCCTCTTTGCTCTCTCCAACGCCATACTCCCATCCTGTCTCAGTCAACTCACAGACTTTAATTTTATATAAATATTTTTACAGGCAAAAGTCTATGTTTAAAAGAAGATTAGTATCCTAGCAAAGCAAAATTTGTCAAAAACAATATTTTATTTTTTGGAAAAAAAATCTGGTCCAATATCGATCTGTTCATATTTTGAATAACCTGTCTCGGTCAACTCACGCAATGTAATTTATAAATTCGGTCTTTCGTTCAATGATTTTAGAATTTATGGTTCCGGTGCGGTCATGGACTGGTGCTCACTCTGACACACAATAACATTAAACGGGAGTCAAGGCTGATATCATCGAGATTTGTTGAAGAGTGGAAGTGGAACAAAGGTACACAGTTGAGAGGAATTTTTTTATCGGATTGAAACCTTAAATATTTCTTTAAATAATAAATATAAAACAAAACTTATGTTGACATGTCTAAGATTATGAATCTTAGACATAATTTAAATATAAGACTATGGTCTCAATTCTAATTTCCAACAATATTGATAGTTAATGTGATGTGTACATATATGAATTCTAATAGAAGCATCCCAAAACCTATAGTGTTCTATTTTAGTGTTGTGAATTGGTTTTACGTTGACTATATTTTAAAATTACACAGTAGTTACTTATGAATTGATATTGTTGCAATATAGCATTTTATACAATGTTGTAGATTTAGTTTTATCATTTTATTACATTTTTATTATAAAGCTATTAATAAGTATGTCTGAAAAATGTCCCATGCCGTACATCGCACAGGTGATTCACTAGTTATTTGAAAGGTGAGGTAGATTGCCTTCTAGATTACATGTTTGCCTCCAAACTATATATAGTTATTGTCCTAAATAGGACTAATGAGTCTCTAAAAAGCACAAATAGGACTACTACTTTTTTAATTCCCCAAATTGGACTAAACATTGGTATTCTACCCTAAATACCCCAAGGGTATAATTCATAATGAAATTTTTAATTCATAATAAAATCATAAAAATAAGGGAGAACTATCAAATAAGCCCTCGAACTTTCATAAAAAGTGCAAATAAGCCCTTTTACAGAGGCTTTGTCCGGCTGTCGCCATTTAGGGCGGTTTCCGGTGGAATTTTTTGATGAATTTTTTTGAGCATCTTCTAAATTAAGTCTAGTTTACCCATATCAAATTTCAGCTAAAAATTCAATCTAGAAGGCAGTCAAATGATTTTCTGAAATATACTGTGCTGCCTAACTGCGCAGTTATTTTCAAAAATTCATTTGACTGCCTTCTCGATTGATTTTTTAGCTGAAATTTGGTATGAGTAAACTAGACTTAATGAAGAAGATGCTCAAAAAATTTCATCAAAAAATTCCACCGGAAACCGCCCCAAATGGCGACGGTCGGATAGAGCCTCCTATAGAAGGGCTTATTTGCAAATTTTTATGAAAGTTTGAGGGCTTATTTGGTAGTTCTCCCTAAAAAATAATTAAAAATCGTAAAAAATAATAAAAAGCGTAAAAGAATAATAAAAAACAATAAAAAATAATGAAATAAAAATTCTAAAAAATATTTTTTTATTCTTTAAAAAATGATAATAAAAAATAGTAAAAACCCATAAAAAATATGGGTACCTTTCCCACCGTCTCCCAGCACCATCACCTACGATCCATAAAAAGTGAAAATTCCGTCACTTTTGTAAAAAAATGCCATTTTTTCTAAAAATGTCAAGAAAATGGCATTATTACTCTTCATTATGCCAACATTTTCATTGAATCTGCCATCATTATGGCATTACTAAAAATTTTGGCATATTTTCTCCGGTGATGGGAGCTGGTGGTGCTAGGGGTGGCAATGGCGGCAGTGTTTCTTTTACGTTTTTAATTTTTTTTAATTTTTTAATTTTTTTTATAAATATTTAATTAATGTTTTATTATTTTTTTACGATTTTTATTATTTTTTATGATTTTATTATTAATTAAAGTATTTCTATGCGATCGAGGTATGCCGACTAAACTGAAAGGTAAATTTTATCGTACAACAATTAGGCCTACATTAATGTATGAAGTAGAGTGTTGGGCGGTGAAGCAATGCCACATTCAAAAGATGAGTGTGACAGAGATGCGTATGTTGCGTTGGATGTGTGTACATACCAGAAAAGACCGCCTGAGGAATGAGGTAATCAGACAAAAGGTGGAGTAACACCTATAGAAGATAAGATGCAGGATTCTCGTTTGAAGTGGTTTGGGCATGTGCATAGAAGACCGAGTGATGCACCTGTTAGACGACTTGAGTGGTGGGGAGAAGAGTCAGAGAAGAGAGTGAGGGGAAGACCCAAACAGACTTGGATTAGAGTAATCAGAACTGATATGCGTCTTCTTGGGTTGGATGAGAGTATGGCTTTGGAGAGAGCAAAGTGGAGGGCGCACATCCATGTGGACGATTGATGTCTTGTCTACCTTTCCTCTCTTGTTTCTTTTATCGTTTATCTTCCTTATCTTTTTATATTCTTATGTTATTTTTATCTTCTAGCTTTTTTATGCTCTTTTATTTATTTTTCTTTTATCTTGGTTATATTCTTGTGTTATTGTTATCTTATATTTATGTATCTTTATTTTATTCATTTTATCTTACTTTTTTTCCTTTTCTTGTCCGCCTTCTCTTTTTGGCATCGATATCATAGATCGATTCATGTTAGCCGAACCCAAATTCTTTTGGGATTAAGGCTTGGATGTTGTTTGTTTGTTGTTGTAGGGGAATTTAAAAAATGTAGTCCTATTTGTGCAATTTTGCCACTTTTTAGTCCTATTTAGGGAATTGACTCGACTATATATTAGTGTATTACATAAGGTTGTACCGCAGATTAGTTTGTCTTTGCTTACTCACTTAATAATTTCATCAGTAATGCTCAATTATGCCTTCTGCTATATGAATGTCTCAGTTATGTTTGTTGTACAAGTTGTTATAGCATATGACAGTCAACCTTCACATGACATATTATAACATGCATATATATAAATAAAAGCATAAAGAAAAAACACAAATGATGTATTAACCCAGTTCACACAGCTCCTATTATTGCAGGAACCACATATATGTAATAACTATTCCACTAGATCTTAAAAAAACAATTGGTGGCGTATAAAACCTTAAAACACTTTCTCGTTGCTATATTATACTCCCTCCGTCCCTCTTATATTGTCCCGTTTTACCTTTTCGGGAAGTCCCACTAAAATTGTCTCATACCATATTTGGTAAAGTTTGTGTGGTTCTAAATCATTCTTACTTTATTCTTACTTTATCAATTAATATCAACCACACAACCTCACTTTTCTTAATAATCGTGCCACTCTCTTCCGACCCAATATAAGAGGGACGGAGGTAGTAATTATTCTTCTCTCGCTTACAATGCATCCCGTGCATTCACTCTCAACGCATCTCGTGAATCCCTCCTCTAAACCTTCATCAAATGTCTCTTCAATAGACATGATCACGTCCCTCTTTTCAGTCTTCAAAATAAACAACTTGACAAGACAACTTCCGAATCACGAAATATGTGTTATTGGACGTTGTAGCTTCCAACGCGCATGAGAACCAATGATATTAACAATGCTGATGCGATTCTGGCAAGGATATGATCGTGAATATTGTATTTCTCATCACTTCACGAAAGCACCAATGCAAGAGCTGATTCACGCACTTAAATAGATTAAATCATTAATCTCTAAAAGACTTTGAGTATTGCAACTCTTTAGGATATTCTCATCACCCACTATCCTAAAGTCTAGTAGTTATTTTCTTGATGAGCGTGCATATACTTTAGTCAATGAAAGACTTTCATAGTCTCTTGGACTGTTAGAAAAAAATCTCTAAGACTTTCCCCAATGGCTTTTGGATTCTTCTCAGGATCTCCAAAAATTTCGAATTCTAACCTTTAAGAGAATTTAGAGTTGTATCCTTTGTAGATATTCATTTAAAACTTCATATAAAGGTCTTCTAAAACTATATCTCACACAACTCTTTAACCTTATTTCACAAAGACTAGTAATCCAAAGAATATAGTACAAAGGACTCAGGTGCTTCAATAACATTATATCTCAAATGCTTCATTAATCTTCCACAATTTTTCATATACTCCTGCCTCTGTAGAGATCACTAGTGATAAATGACATCACAAGCCTATACTACTAAAAAATCCTCTAACAAGTAAACATGTAAATCTAGTTTTCTAACAGATGCAACAACAAACAAAGGATCTCAATACATACCCTCCGTTTATTTAAAAATATGCCGAGTTTGACTGGCAAGTGGAATAATAAAATAAAAAGTATGTGATTGAGGTTTGTGCAAAGGAGAAAGAAATAATAGAAACCACAAATTAATTGATTAAAAAAGAAAGTGGCAAAGTTTTTTCGGACAACCAAAAAATGAAAGATGGCAAAGTTACAACGGAAGGAGGGAGTATAAAACTAACATAGAAAGGTATGTTTGCTATTCGTGCTTCTTAAATACATTATGAATGAATAAATGAATTTCAAACTTTTTAATAAAAATTATACATCACATCTTGTCTAATTACTCAACAATCACAGTTTTCAAATAGGTCACTGTGACAAAACAATGTCTAACAAATTAATTTCACTTTTCAATTATTTTCTCTTCAAATTTATAAATAACAAGGACAACTAATGGCCTAATGGTCATTAGATAGGAACAAATGAAGAAAGCAAAGAGCTAGAGAGATAAAGCAAAAGGCTTGTTTTGTCTGAGAAGAAGCACATAATTATTCAGAATCCTTAGCACGCAAAGCTAAAAGACTAGTATACACAGGAAAAACTTCAACTAACATCTACAACTACGCTTAGGGGATGGCAGGAGCCAAGAAGTCATGCTTATAAGTCACACTACACCGTAAGGATGTGTGCCGTGAATTGAGGGCTTGGCACAAGGGTCTCACCGATCTCTCCGACGGGTTCAACTAACTACTGGAGCCAGCTACCCCACGTTTTATTTCCCTCAAGGCCCATATTGTATTTATTAAGGAATCCAAACTCCAAAGAACCACCCAGCCACACCCAAGTTCAAACTCATAGGCTGGTCGGCCCACCGCTGACCCCTTGGATAAGCCCAAAGTGCATTGGTTCACAGCTCCGCACAGGGCTAATTGTATTCATATCATCATCCATCAAGGACTAGTTATATTATTTTTACACTGTAGCGTTTAAAAAAACATATACCTTCCGTCATTTGCAATGAAGCCAAAGACTCACTAATTTTTGGCTTGGAAATATGATGGAATAAAGCAAAATGGATCACTAAATTGCTTGCGCTTCTTTGTTATGAAGCAGCATTCAGTCCATATAATTTTCGACGCGATTTTTACTATGGGTCATCCGGAAACAGTCTCTCCGTGATTTAGTACAGGAGTAAGATTGAGTACATCCGACCCCCCCTTACCCGACCGAAGGTGGGAGAGCCTTTGCAGCACTGGGAAATGATGATGATGAGCGTTTAAAAAATATAAGGGTTTACTTGGATTCCCGAGTGATCCAAGTGCGTATGGATTCCAAGCATGTGTTACCGTCGTAACCCCATAAAGTGGAAGGATTTCAAAAAGGATCTAGACTATGACTTTTAGATGGATTTTGTAAAGAAGCAGCTACTTCTACACACATTGCAGGGCAAAGGAAACACATAGGGCACACTGGTCATCCAACTACCCAAAGCTTCAAATATACTTGGCTCAAAAGAAACTACTAGGAAACAACTTCCATTCAAGCTGAAAACCAAACATCCAAAACAGTCAGAAACCGACCTCGTTCCACAACAAGTTGCCAGTGATGATACCCTAGAATTGCTCCTGGGTAATGCGCCTTGTGATTCTAACTCACTTATAATTCCTTGTACGACCTGGATTTCAAAGCGCCCAAGCAATTGAAAATGTTCAGCTCTTTATACTACGGAGTATCATTTTACATTGACGGTATCAACTCTTACCAAAATTAAACCATATTACCTTGCGGAAATCTCGAGACTGCGCGGAATCAAATATTGGCCATACCTTATCAAAGTCCTGAAAAGAACCCAAGTTAGGAAACGGAAAAACAAAGATCCAGATGGATAAGAGAAAACCAGTTTTAACGCCTTTTCGTACTTTAGCGGATTGAGTTGGGCCTCTAAGAGAAGATAGTATGAAGTAAAGAAGCTGTTCCCCCAATTTAGGGTTCGAATGACGAAAGAGCCCGACCCGAGGCGTGCCATTGCCGACTCCGATGCCGATGATCGCCGGATCCAGTCCTAACAACAAACAGTTGGTGTACATTGCACTCTCCAGCTCAATCTCTCTTTCCTTCTCACGGTCCATCGTCATTCCACCTTCCCCACCAATCACATACACTCTCTTTCTCTCTGCAATTCGGTTTGCAGATATGCTTTTTGTACACTGATACGGAATTAAGTTTCTGTACAAATTCAAAAAGTAACTCAGCCAATACAGTAAATAAAACGGGTGAAGGGGCCTGCCTCGTTGTTGGACATGACTGGATAGGGCTTTAAATCCAGAGAAAATTGTGCAAAATAGAACTATATTATAGAAAGTTTACATGATTAGGATCTACTACCTCCGTCCCTATATAAAAGTATTCATTCATTTTACACATATCTTAAGAAAGTGAGTTTGGTTGGTACTGTTTGGCACTGTTTGGACACTGTTTGGCACTGTTTGGCATTGTTTGTCACTGTTTTGCACTGTTTTGTTTGACAAAAAAGGAAAGGGAACTTTTATTTAGGGACGGCCCGAAAAGGAAACAAATGCTTTTATTTAGGGACGGAGGGAGTATTTAGTTTTTTTTCCATCCATATGTTCTATTTAGTTCTAGTTTTAAGAACCTTATTTTTTTTTCATTTCTACCCTCCAACATGTTGCAGCAAATTAAACATACTGAGCATTAAATTAAATCAAATTAAACATGTTGCAGCAAATTAAATCACATCGCGGTAGAATAGATCTGGCAACTTCCGCCACCTACCGCTTGACAGACCTCCGCCGCTTGCCGCCGTCAGACCTCCGCCGCCTGCCGCTTGCCGGTCTTCGGTCGAACTCCGTCGCATGCCTCTATCGACATCCTCCTAAGACTTCTGTCGACCTCCGCCACTGGCCAGTACTACTGAGACCTCTCCCACTAAAGATGACCTCTGTTTCCGGTCCTCCAACGAACTCCGCTGCCACAGCTTACCCGACGACACTGTGGCTGCCGCCGGTTCTCTGCAATCAAATTATTTATTGTTATCAGAATTTATTGTTTGTTTATTGTCTACTTATTGTCTATTTATTGTCTATTTAATATCTGTTATTTTCTAAAAGTAAGGGTATTGTGGTCAACGCATGTGTAGTTGAGTCTTACGCTAATCTTCGGTCTTGGTTTTGGAAAATCAGTACGTTTTGCTCCTACTTGTTGAAATCTCCCTTAAATCGAATTATTATGAGCTCGGTGCGGAGTAAAAAGTAAACGAGTTTATTATACTCCCTTCTTAAATATGAGTCCTCCTAGGCTTTTGCACGGGTTTTAAGAGGAAAATAATAGGGGTAGTGTAAAGGTGTAGTGGGTTGTGTTTAAATGAAAAAGTTAGAAAGATAAAGGGGTAATGGTAATAAGAGTGAGGGTATAAAGGTATTTTGATTGAAAAAACTTACCAAAAAGGAAGAGGGACGGTTAAAAACATTCCAAAAAGGAATGCGAGACAGTTAATAAAGAAGGAGTACTACGGAGTAAGTAAACTCGTCAACGGAGAGCCCGGAATGGACCCTGAAATGGCTATTCAGACATTTAAGAAAGCCACTTATAGCTACATTGGGAATGCCTTGATGTACTCTAGGAAAAAATGTTTTGAAATAAATAGTTTTCACAACTTTAAGGGCTAGTTTGGTAGTTTACTCGTCAAGTCTTGGCACGCGAAATGAATACATGCAGAGTTTAGAGAAGCAATCACTTTACATGTAAAATAGATTACATCGTTTGACTAAATGTGTAATTTGTTTTTAGTTTGCACGCAAAGACATTGTAGTGCTTTATAGAAAGCATGCGAAGTATTTTATCACTCTCCACCACGTAAAATATTTTACATGTTACAATGTGAAATGTTTTTAAAAAATGCCCTACAGTTTAAATTAAATAATCAAAACCAAACGATGTAATCATTTTACGTCCCTCCACTTCGCATGCAAAGTAATTATATTACATCCTACCAAAACGCGCTCTAAGAACAGATAAAACGGGCTATTTATAATGATAATAGATGTTAAGTGCATTAGTTCTGAGTGCATGATAAGTTAATCTATGGACGAAGCTTGGCATCATATAATAGAAGGGCATGTGATGTCATCTGTATTTAAAGCGTAGTGGCCGAGGGACTAAACCCTCGTCCATGTATTTGTGATAGCATTGTCTAGCGTCTGGCCTGTTAGGTGCTAGGCCCTTCGATTGGCCGAGGGGTCGCAACCAAAGGGTCGACAGAAGAAACTGACTTTTCATTGCTATCGGTACATATGTTTTTGTTTTGCCTGCTATAAGTGCACTACCTGAACGTGGGGGCCTAGCTGAGACTGTGACTAGTTGTCCGTTGGGCCTGTTTTAGTGTCTTGTGTATGAGAGACACCAAAAGATATTAATAACTCTTTGTAAGATTAATAACGGCCAACACCCTTGAAGGTTGTAGCACTCTTATAAATCATGGTAACAACTTTACTCCTCAACTCTCCGGCCAACACAAAATTTACATATGAATATCCTCAACCCATTGCTTCTTCTGCTTCATCAGATTCTTGATAACTCAAACTCAACTTTTATTTGATGATGGTTATATAATTATCACGACTCTACATTGTATTGTTCTCCTGATGATCTCTTTTCGATAGGGCATGTACTATCTTATTATCAAAGCCCTTTTAATATTTGATTTTGTAGTCATAGCTCAATAGTTTGGTAAGGTGTGTCCTCCATTTCTCAATGGCTAATAAGATACCCAAAAACTCCTCATATATGGATAGTTCTTTTTTGTCCCATGGATTTGCTCACATATGCTAAAGGATGACCATCTTGCATTAATATTACCCCAATCCACTATAGCATGCATTAGTCTCCACTATAAATGGCTTATTAAAACCAAGCAACTATAAAATAGGAACATTACACATTGTCTCTTAAGCTCTTCAAATGCCTTTTGTGCCTCGTCATTCCATTTGAACATCTCCTCTTGAGTTAGATCATTGAGGGGTTCAGCTTTGGTCCCATATGGGGAACAAAAAAATTCCGAAATTCAAAGACATTTCCAAGATTTCTCTTAATGCTTTAAGAGTAGAAGTAATTGGCCACTCCATGCTACTTTTAGTTTTTAGGATCCACAACTTCACCTCGGCTAATAACATGTACCAAATATTCTACCTGTGGAAACTCAAAAAAAGCACCTAGACTTCTTGGCACTAATTGAAATATACGTCTTAGATGTTTTTATGGATCTTTTTGTCAGGATTATATCAATACTAGTATAGCACTCGTGCGATGCACGAGGGTGAATGCTGTTTAAAAATAAATATGGATGTTTTTACATCTTAAAAGTGCATGTCAAAGTGAAAATGGTACATGATATGACTATGTCATTAAAATATGGTTCTTATATACCCATAATTTGATTATGGTTATAAGAACTATTTAATGTCTATGTAAAATTATGATATGCCTTTTGTTGTTGTTGACAAATTAGAGTTAAATGCAAATCATAACTCATGTAGAATCAAGATTACATTTTATGAAAATGTCTTTAAACGAAGACAACTTTCAAGGTCTCATCTCACATTTTGTAATAATCGTTATGACAAAGTATTATGAGAACGTCACAATTTAAAACCTTTCACACAACAACGTATAATATTTCATAGATTGACATTGAATGTGACTTTTATTAATGATCAATGATCTTTGTATTAAAAGTCATTATTAGAGATTGCCGCTTTCGAAATAAAAAACGAAGTATGACAAACATCAAAAGGTGTTAAGTGTTATGTAATTATGTAGATTGTCCATTAATCCATAATCCATATGCCCATATGTAATGGCCCGTATCATGATTGTAACCTAGTTCCCTTCCCTTGTATATATATGTTGCTACATGTGAATGAAATAGAGACCTTAATGTTGGCTCATTACACGTTATCAGCACGATTCCTCTAACCCTTATCTCTACCTTCCCTCCTCCTCTACTACTGCTATCATGCCCGCCACTTCTCGAACAAGGCTGGCCGCCGCTCGCCACCGTTTGAAGGTCGTTATTGCACGAACAACCCTTACTTCTCTAGTCTTTCGGCATTCATCGAGCCTCGCAGCCGTTGTTGGCCACCATCGCTACTCACTGCGCATCTCGATCTGCTCATCATAACATTGGATCCAAAAATCTTCGTGTCTCACCAGACCATGGCTACAGGGCTACAATGCATATATCATTTCGAAGAAAAATACTTATCCTTGTCCATCGCCTTCCAGGTATTTCATTCAATTAATCTATTCATTTATCTTTAAGACGGATTGATTGTCTTTGTTTTCCACTTCCAGATTGAAATGGATTGTTTTAAAAATAAAATAGAGCGTATAAGTTATAACATCGGGGCTGATTCCCTAGGTGCATAAATTTATACTCCGTATTATTTCATTATATGTTTGATTTATCTCTACACTTCCGTATTAGTTTTGTGTATTACTCTGTTGTTATGGTTTTGTTTTATTTATGGATGAAAACTAATTTTCTTCCAAAAATAAAGTGCTTAGTTATTTTGGCATTCATATATTAAGCGAATGACTATGTACTAATATATAGTATACGTGGTTTGTGGATATGCTAAACATTACATGGTCGTATAGGCATATGATGCAAATATTAAACTTCAATATTGATTCATGATACGGTATGCTGAGATAATTCTGAATTTCCCTCACATTTTATTTAATATGGATATCGTTTTATGTGAAGCTTAAATTTAAATTATACAATTAAATTTAATACGGAGTAAACTTTAAGTTAAATATACCAGGTAATACATTACGTAGCTACCAAACGGCCCAAACGTAAGCATTTGGCAATTTTGGGTTCTTATAATTGTTATATCTGATGATTGTTGTCATCATTATTATTGTGAATTTATATTTGATGAAAAATGGTTGTTTGAAAATTTGAAATCGTTAAAACTCTTAGTCTTTGAATTTAGACACACTTTGCTCTAACAAATCTAAAAAAAGAATAATACTTCGTACATAGTAAAAAAACAAAATAACGTTTGGGTGCAATAATTTATTGTTGTTGTTTATAGAAATTAATTAATACTAACGTTATAGGCCAGAGCTATAATTGAGCACTTATGATTATTAAACATATAATCTGGAATGTTTTTATTATGACAACTAGTATAGTACCC